TGTATTTCCTGGTCCCATGGGCTCAGGCATCTGAGAAGATGGCAAGCAGAAGTATGACCAAATACCACAAGCTGTGGTGCATTGGAGTGTGCATGGCAGCATATTTGCAGAGGCCCAGGTTGGTTATCCCAGACAAGGGCTTTGGAAGCGCATGACAGTGTTCCCTTGGCCTAGGCACTAAGAGTTCTCATAGAGGGCCCCAGAGGCAAAGGTATCAGTACTTAGTACAGGAGAGAGACTAAGAGCATGCACTCTTGAGCCCAACTGCCTGGGTTCAAATCCCGGTCTACATATGAGCTATATGAGCTATATGATCTTGAAGGAAAATACTTAACTTCTGTATGCCTCAGTTTCCTCAGCAGTGAAATGAGGATGATGATATCTACCTTATAAGGTTGACTGAAAGGTAAATAATTTAATACAGTAAAATACAGCACCTGGCATTATTATTAAGTGGTTTTGTGGATAATGGAGATGGGGGTGGGAGTTAGTCAGGGAGTGGTGGGAGGAGGGATACTGGAACAGATGATGTGAAAGATGTGAGGTCTTATGAGCTTATGAGCTCACGTTGACCTGTGCCTGGGGGCTTCCAGAAACCCTTGGAAGAGAATGGGGGGTGTCCAGGTGGAAACTAGAGCCAGCGAAAACTGAGCTGTTAAAGCTAACATGAGCCTCTTTGCACCCTCAGGTTTGCAAGGCACTTCTAGAAGCCATGCTGTTCTAATAAGTGAGCCTTTTAATATGGCTGCTGGTCACAGGCCAGGAAATAGTTAATGTCCTGGTCTTGCTGCCTCTGGGGCCTGGGGCCAGGTCTGGTGCTCCATGATTAGGGGGAGACAGGTTGGTATGTGCCCAGAGGAGGGGTCTGGGGAGGCTCTGACAGCAAAGCCTAGAGAAATAGAGGAAAGGGAATTCTGGGAAGATCCAGAAACTGCCTTCCTGCATCTGTAGGTTTTCATGCCACTATAGGCAGGTGTGGAGGACAGGACTGAGGGGTAGTCCCAGGGAGGCAGATTCCAGCTTGACCAGCAAGCAAAGCTGGCCAACCACAGTAGACCTCCTTGTGAGGTAGGGAGCCCCCCCACCCCCCATGGAACTACTCCTGCCAACTCCCAAGACCCACCCTAGAAGACTGGTTCAATAGGCCTAGGTTGACAGGGGAATCTGCGTTTAACAAGCTTCCAGGTAACTGGGGATTCATACTATGCAGAACTTTGCCTTCCTGGGAGGGTCTTAGATAAGATCTGGTATCGCTTCTAGCTCTTAGCTCTGATTATCTGTCATTCTGTGGTCCCGTAAATTCCCAGGCTTGTGTCCTGACAGCTTTTATTCCTGCCAGAACCTCTTGGCTACAAGCTCATTCCTTTGAGCCCCACACTGTTCAAGGGCTAACACAGAAGACATACTCAGGACACAACCTCATAGAGTACATTGTCTAACTATTTCTTTGTGGGGTTTGATTACAATTTCTGATTAGGGACTTCAAGGTGTGTGTGTGTGTGTGTGTGTGTGTGTGTGTGTGTGTGTGTGTGAAAACGTGTGGTGTGTGCAGAAAGAAAAACAGGATCTAAGCCTACAGCTTTTGCGTTTTTGTGTGAGAAGGCCTCAGCTAGTGCTCATGTCAGCGATGGGAAATGGGGGCTGGGGCTTGAGGAACCAGAAGTAGGGCTGGACCCGGGGGAACTGTAAACTCAGAAGGATGCTCTGGTTCTTTGCCTGCTTCACAGAGTGGGAATTCACACGGTACTGTGAATTTCAGCCAAATCCTCCTGGCCAACCCTGCTTTCCTGGCTGCCCAGGTTCCACTGCTCCCAAGGACTTGGGCTCTAGCCCCTGGAGGCTCTAGCCCTGCTCACAAGGCCTGACCCTCCCTTGAGGCTGTGGCTACCTAAGAAGCCAAATGTAGGTTGTTTGATGGGTGCAAAGAGGGAGGTGCTCTGCGTTGATGATATCCATGGGCCTCTGGGGAATCAGGGAGGCCCAGTGCCTGTCAGTAAAGGCAGAGAATAAAACAATACTGAATCTGATGTAAGCCTTCAGTCTGAGGTCTAATCTGCCCCAGCCACATGGTCCCGCAGGCCAAAGAACGTACTCAAGGCTGGGATGACCAGAGTTTAGGAGGCCGCCACTAACACTTGCCCTGGGGAAGAGATGAGGAACCAGAGGCACAGGAAAGTTAACAGATTCACACAAGTCTTTTGACTGTGATGTGGAGGAGCCCAGCTTGGTCTGACTTCACAGTTCATATTTTTGAACTGTGTGCAATGATCCTCCCTTAGAGGATTTGGGGATCCTGGCTCCAGCTCACCTGAAGTCCTCATGGGTCCTTCTCCTCATGGGCTCCAGCAATGAAGAGACTATTGGCACAACAGCCCCTTTATTATCTTGACTTCCCACAAACACATAGATAGAAACATGGCATTTGAAAGACCTTCAGAGACCATGGGGGCCCACCACCTCCTGTTACAGAAGTCTGATTCTGGTTCAAGGTCACAAGGAGAGTGAGCTTGTGGAGACCTAGAATCTGGAGCTCCTGCTATTCAGGTAGGCCTCTCTGACCCTCAACTGTGTGGTTAGCTCATGGATCCATCCTCCTGCTTAGCTGCACCTAGAAACTCACACTCACCTCTAACCTAGTGAAGCTGCACCTAAGTGTGGTTTGAAGTCATGATGGTCAGAAGGGCCAGTGGACTTTTGTGCTGTCCTGTTACATGTCTCCTGAGGAGAAGGCTTACAGACTCAAGGCTCTTTTATTTAGAGAGGTGAGACAATGAACTAAAGATAAACTAAACTCATTGTGAAAGGGTCTCTTCACTAATGGTGGAGTTGCAACTTTGACGATCTTTTATTTTCATTTTTTAAGGAACACTGATATTCTTGGGGAGTGTGGCATGACAGCTGTTTGGAGGAGCTGGCTGGGATTCGGGAGCCAGATTGCATCAGAATCTGTCTTAAGCACACGATCAGGAATATATAGTATAGTGGAAAGGGTCAGGAATGACATTGGCAAGAAGGAGCCCAGGGCTAGGGAGAAGGGACACTAAGGGGACAAAACTCAGGAGAGTCATGGCTGAGGAGAGAGAACAGTCACTGTGATTCCAGATGTGGATGTTTTGCTTTATGCTGTCATTTCCTTCTTTAATCTTCAGACTTAAACTGGATTAACAAATTTTTTTGTTGGCTAAACCTTATAGCCCACTACTACCAGTGTTTTAAAGGAATTTTCCATGCTTGGTTAGGAGCAGCTGTTGGAAAGGTGCAGCAGCAGAGCACACAGTTTGGGGAAGACCAGACATCACCCATAGAGGAGCAGAAGAGCAATCTGGAGCCACGGAAAGCAACTGACCAGCAGTACTTGCCAAGCCCACGACATTCCTAGGAGGGAGGTTCAATAAAACCCTGAGCCAGCTGCCTGTGGTCAAATGCATGGGGGCTTGGCTCACTGCCATTTAGAATTTCAAGGGCTCCCCAAGTCTGCCAAGTTCTGCAACATCTCAATCCCATGAGTTTGGGATAGGTAGATACAAGAAGCCATTCTTTTCTAAGTATTATCTGAGTTCCCACAGTTTTGATGTGCAAAAAAACAAATGTCATCCTGACATGAAAATGGTCACGGAGCCTGCCCACTCACCAAATTAATGCTCACTCATCCATTCTTCCCTCACTTAACAAGTGTCTGTCCCTTCTGGCTGAGGTCAGCTCAGACAACCATCAGATATAATGGGGGTGGTACCAGGGCACACCACGTGCAAAGTTCATGAAATCAAAGAAACCATGTTGGAAAACGTCACATGCAAGGTCTTGGACCAGCAAAGAGCAGATGGAACTGGAGCAGTTAACAAAGAAAAAAATCATGATAAGGCAAGATAGGTTCTTTATGAGAAAATGGTTTGCATATTGAAGAATTGATAGATGACCTTGGGAAAATGAAGGAAGCCCTTAAATTTTAAACAGTCTCTTAACAGAGGTGCTGTAAAGTAAAATGTGAAGGATTTGGTTCATCCTGTTGGTATAAAGAAAAAATACACCAAGGCTAAAATTGACACAATTAATTCTTTGTTCCTTCTGTTTTATACTTCTTTTTAACATTTATTCATTTTTGAGAAACAGAGAGAGAGAGAGAGAGAGAGAAAGAGAAAGCATGAGTGGGGAGGGGCAGAGAGAGAGGGAGACACAGAATCTGAAGCAGGCTCCAGGCTCTGATCTCTGAGCTGTCAGCCAGAGCCTGACACAGGGCTCGATCTCATGAACCACGAGATCACGATCTGAGCCAAAGTTGGATGCTCAACCGACTGAGCTACCCAGGTGCCCAAATTCTTTGTTCTTTCTAAAAAAGTAGCATATAATCTGTATTTTGTTATAAGTATAGGTAAAAATAATTTATTTTCATAATTTTATTTGTATAAAGCAATCTCAATGAGACCCTTTATTTTTTTTATTTTATTTTTTTTACAAATAGTTTATTGTCAAATTGGTTTCCATATAACACCCAGTGCTCATCCCCACAAGTGCCCTCCTCAGTGAGACACTTTAATTTATTTTCATCATTTCTCTTTCTTACAATACAATTTTACTGAAAATCATTTTCACTATTTACTATGAAATTTTGATCTTCATTTTAAGTGGACTCATTTAGGTGGTCTTTTTCTGGTGACCACACCCCTGACATGATGAGGCCCCCTTTGCTGATGGTTCTCCTCCAAGTCTTTCCCCATTTTAGGAAAGCATCTACAGGGTTAGGGTGGTTGGACCTCTCAGGAGACCTGGGTCAGACACAGCCTAGGAAGTTTATCTCTCAGGATGTATGGCAGCCTCAGCCAATTCAACAAACTCTGGATTTTTATTCCTTAGTGTGGCAGCCACACACCTTCCCCAGGTGCCCACTGCAGCCTGCAAGCTGTCAGCAGACCCTCTGGCCAGGCCAGGCAATGTTGGCCCCAGCCCAGGGCACTTTGCTTGGCCCCGGCCAGGCTAGCTGCAGGCAAGTAAGGGGCACTTACTTGGCCGGCGGGGCTCTGGGCTGCCTGCGGCTCTCCAGGGGGCTCCTCGTCCTCGGGAATGTGGGGCATGGCAGCCTCCTGGCAGGAGTGGCCCTGTGTGCCCGGAACCTCCGCGGCGTCAGCCCCAAAGATGCTCCAAGAGGCCTGGGCTCCGCAGGCTGAGGAGACGCCAAAAGGACAAGTCAAATCCACTCCCATCCCTGACCCAAGTTGGGTTCCATTTCTAGGAGCCAAGAGCCGCAGAAAAAGCCTGGTTGGGTTTGCATCAACACCAAAAGTTGGACTAGGCCAGGAGAGGGCATTTGGAATTGCATTTCCTCCTGTTCATTTGCTCTATTTACAAAGCTAGAGATGACCTTAGAGATTTTGCATCTAATTTGATCCTTGCAGTAAACACAGCTATCCTAGAAAGGAAAATAGTGCTTCAAACTCCACAAAACTATAGCTAATGAGGACACTCCACTGGGACTAGACCTGTACTTATGTACCATTTTTTGAACATCTACTAAGTGCCAGGCACTATCCTAGGGGCATTTCCAACATCACCTAATTTAATCCTCATGAGGACCTCTGATGCAGGCATAAATATTCACATTTTATAGAAGAGAGAACAGCTTCACGGAGTGGCAACCATTTGCCAAAATCACACAAAGAACCAAGCATTTGAAACCAGATCTTCCTGATTTTGAGTCCAGGACTCTTTTTACTATACCACACAGCCTTCCTTGTCTGGATTGAGGAAGAGGAGGATGTTCTCTTTCTTTCTGCTACATGGCTGACTTCATGTACTGCAACAGCTTTTCTGACCCTCAATATGGAGCTTCCTCACTTGAGGACAGCCCTCACCAAGCCTACAATTCTGGGGGCTCAGCCAGGGAGCATCTTTGTGCGGTGCCCATTCCGAGCAACCTTTAATTACTTCTCCACAAGCCAGACTTATCCCATCTCATGGTCTAGCAGCTTTGAGACCCACCTAGGATTTGCCCAGTCAGCATAATCTCATTTATCTCACCACAGTGATTGGCTTAGGATAGAAAATAGATCTGGTATAAGCTAATGAGCACACTGCAGTGTTCTGGGACCCAGGTGCTTGAACTTGCTCTAGGTGGTAGAGTGTGCAGATGTAAGACCTGGTGCTATTGATGCCATTTTGTTTATATTTGGAAATGCAGACTGAGGATAAAACTGACACTCAGGAGGGGGTAGAGCTAAGACTCTTGCATAAAAAATAAGCTGGATCCCTGATCAAAGTTCACTTGAAGACTGAACTCTTTCTGGACTAGCCAGCTACACAAACAATTAAATTTCTTAGTATTTTAGTCAATTTGGCTTGAGTTTACTTATAACCATGAATTTGTAACCACTTGTCTTAACTTATAACTACTAACTACTGGTACTTATAACTACTAATTATTCTTTTGTGTTTCTCACCAATCAAAAGGCCTAGGATCATACATTATTTCTCCAATAGACTGGAGCCAATGGGCCTGGCTCCTCTGCTTTCTCTTAGAAAAGGCCCGTAATGTCAGGTCTCAATCTGGAGAGGAAGGATAGCAAGGTAGAAAGAACAAAAGCCTTGGAACCTGATACCTGGATTTGAGTCCCCACTCTGCCACTCACTGGCTGTGTGGCCTAGAACGTTGGCTTCACTTTTTTTTTTTTTTAATTTTTAAAGAAAAAGAGAGAGTACAAAAGGGGGAGAGGAGCAGAGGGAGAGAGAGAGAATTTTTTTTTTTTTTCAAAATTTATTTTGGTGGGGGACAGTAAGAGAGAATTCCAAGCAGGCTCTGTGCTGCCAGTGCAGAGCCCGATATGGGGCTCAAACTCACAAAACTGTGAGATCATGACCTGAAACCAAGACTCGGGCACTTAACTGACTGAGCCACCCAGCTGCCCCGAAAGAGAGAGAGAAAGAGAAAGAGAATATCTTAAGCAGTCTCCACACTCAGCATGGAGCCAGACACAGGTCTCAGTCCCATAACCCTGAGATCAGGACGTGAGCCAAAATCAAGAGTAAGACATTCAAATGACTGAGCCACCCAGATGTCCCTATGTTGGGGCTTTACTTCTGAGCCTCACTTTCCTTTTCAGGGGAGTAGAGATAAGAATGCCTTCCATGCCAGAATGTTCTAAGTCTGAAATGAGATAGAGCACCCAGCATGGAGTAGGTACTCACAGAAGCCATGTGCATAGAAGTCTGCAGCCTGGGAAGCTCAACCAGAGTCCAAAGGCCCCCTCTTCACTTCTTCCCCCACTAAACTCCTCCAGGTCTCCTTCCCCTAATGGGGAGGGAGAAGCCTTCAGGGAACTGCAGAACCAGCAACCAGCCTGGTTCAATAACTTCAGAGGTCCCCTGAAGTTGCTGCTCTGCTGGTGCACAGACAAAAACCACCAGATCCAGACCCTGCCTTCAGCCACAGCTCAGGGGCTACTGGAACACACAAAGGAGAAACAAAGGACATTGTCATTTACTGAGTACCTACTATGTCCTTGGCCCAAGGTGCTGACTTGCAGAAGGCTGCAAGGAGGAAGTCAGAAAGCCCCACCACCTCCCATGATACTAGATATTCATTGGCTCACACAGGAAAGGCTCTTCTGAGGGCCTGAAGCCAGAGGGCTGTGGGCAGGTTCAGATCTGACCTCAGCCTCAATTCTGACAGATGCTCCCCACCCCAACACACACGCCTTTGATTGAGCTCCCCAGGAAAGGCAAGGAGTCTGATTCATCATGGATAAGTAGAAGATTCATCAAAAAATGCTTGCTGATTTTTATTTAAAGAACTAGAGAACTTTAGCCACAGTGTTGGTCAATGTGACTACCATCTTGACTTTTGCCAGTCTCTGTGTTGGAAAGGTAGCCCCATTCAGCTCTGAAACAGTTGGGGTGACCTCTGCTGGTCAACTCAAGAAATCTCATCTCTAGTAGGAGATTCATGAACCTGAATCATTCGTTCATTCACCACACTGACTTTACGCATACTCTACCAGCCCCTGTGCTAGGTGCTGGTGACTTCAAGATGATGAAGATGTGGTCTTGGCCCTCAAGAAGCACAGTGGTGGGAGGCAGTAGGAAAACAGTGTAACTGTTACGACTTTGAAAGTGAGAAGTGGTAGGATCCCAGAAAAGGATCCCTAAACTATGGGAATTGGGACAGGTGAGATAGTTTTAGCCTAGATTTCATGACTCAGTGTTTGAATTCAGTCATGAATACTGAAATGGTGAGTGGAATTTCTCTGACAGAATAGCTAGAGGGAAAGGTGAGACAGGAAGGAGAAGCCCTACTGGACAGATTAAACTTGGCTCTTGGGAATGAAAGCTACAGGACCAGTGCATGCTGTGTCTCCCATCCCAAATAGCCACTGTATGGATGAAATGAGCATCGTATTTACCCAAAGGTCTGCTCCATGATTAACTTCTATCACTTTTACTTAGACTTCAACAGCAGTAACATCAGTGGTGCTAGGCAAAAGTATATGGTAACAGGGGTTGACAGTAGCAAAGGAGTATTCACAAACCCAATTCTACCAAGGAAGTTGGCTGCACTTCCCAAGAACCCCCATAAGTGATATATGATGTATGTGTAGGTCCAGCCTGTCTTAATAGTAATGTGGTTCTCAAACCATGTCAGGTGACAGTTCTACTTTCCTCTATGCCTTAGTCTACACAAAGTGTATTGCACTCTATAACTAAGAAGGACTCAGACAAATTGGGGCACGTTCAGAAAATGGGAAGTAGTATGCAGGAAACAAGAATTTGTCTTTAAAGAACTAAAGACCTTTAGCCTGGAGAAGAGACAGTGCAGGGAAAAATAAAATCGCTTCTCAGATATTTGAATATCATTCCTGTAGTTCTTTTGTCCCCAAAGGATAAATGTATGACCAATGAATGAAATAAAGGTCAAATCAAGGCAAGGGAAACCTTTCTAGTGGTTGGAACTATCTGAGATGAAACAGGCTACTCTTTAAGGTAATGAACTCCCCGTTCCTGGGAGAGCTCCAGCAAAGCCTGGGCCAATGGTCACGGGATTCCGGATCCCACTTCAAGGGCCATTTTCATCTCTAGGAGTCCCTAAAATCCTGGAATCTTCCTGGTCACAACAAACCACAAATGTAATAGTCCTATCTCATAGGATTCCGGAATCATGGTACCCCAAAGTCACATAAAAAAATATCTCATTTTCTGACCCTCCACTTTCTTTCCTCCATCTTCCTCCTCCTCAAGAAAGACCTTAAGTCAGTCCCTGGATCAGACAACAAAGAAAAACAGAAACAAATTAAGTCAGACAAGCACTAAGAGATGTCAGCTGCAGCAGGACAAAGCAGAGTGGAGGCTGGCTGTGGTCCCACACTTGACAAGACAGAACCCCGAGGTCCTCAGGGGGAGCCCCAGCAGCCCCGCCTGCTGAGGCCATTCCCACGCTGCTCCTGCCCTGTTCGCTTTCTCTCCCATCCGTTATTATAAACTTGCTGCTTAAAATAGCAAGGTAAAAGCAGAGTCCCTCCCCCAGGGTGACATCTGGGTTCTGCTGGAGCTTGTGGGCACACAGACTTTACATCCATCACAGCAAAGTTAAGGATATAATCTGCAGGATATGGTGATCTAGAGCACCGACCCATAAAAGGAAAAAATATTTAGTTATGTTTGGTCTCTGAGCTGTTCCTTCTTTAACTGATTTTCAGGGCCCTTCTTACTACCTCTTTATCCTAGTAAAGTAAAGTGTTAGATATATCATTGTCAGGAGCCAGTCAGCTCTTTGGATTCTACTCATTCTGTCCCCAGCCAGTGCTTAAGTATATAGCTTGGCCCATTTTACAGGAAGGAAAACTGAGGTGCAAAGAAGGGAAACAACTTAACTGGATCCAGTAACCTTTGTACCTGGTACCAATTTTTAAGCCTCTGCTGGGATAACTATCCAATCATTTGTGGAATTGAAAAGGTCAGAAGTTTCTAATCCATATTTAAATATTTTATCTGCCCCTGGCCATGCTCATGAAAGAAAGCAAACTAGTATACATTCCTTCATTCTCTCATTCATTAGATATTTCTAGTTTGCCTACTGAGTTGAGTACCATGCTGGGTGCATTTCAAGTGCTATCTATTTTAAAGCCTGTGAGATGGGTTTTATTATTTCCGCTTTACATATTAAGGAACAAAGGATCAGAGGGGTTTGGTAATTTGCTCAGGATCCCGCAGCTAATAAGCATCAGGCTGAGGATTAACACAAGCTAGTCTGACCCCAAGGCCCATCATCTCTCCCCTCCTCTCCTCCACCTCCTTAGCTGGGAGTTCCGCGGAACTGCAGCAGAACCCAGCATAGGAAGCTGCCCCTCAGAAAACTGGAGCGTGCATTCCCAGCAAGGACACCAGTGGTGGTGGGGTGGGGCAAAGCAAGCAGCAGCATATCAGACCAGGGGTCTTATGAGGGCAAAAAGGTGGGCCCACAGTTTGAGGTTGCAGGACCCTCACTATAGGGTGACAAATCCACCCATTCCCCCATCCATCTGTCTGTCAGGCCATCCATTCACCCACACTCCTTCTGACTTCCATTCATAAAACTGTCCATTAGTTTGTCCTTTGAACCTTTCACTCCAGGAAGTCTCACCCTTGTTGGATTAACTGCACAGTCTCTGCCCCTGGAAAAGCCACTGTAGGACCCCATGGGCTATAGGGAGAGGGCAGGAGAGGACTTCTCTGACAGAGTGGCCATATAAACATAGGCATGCCCATTCACAGCTGGCAGAATACCTCCATCCTATACGCCTCAGCCAGAGGGAGAGGCTCTGGCTTCCTTTGGGAGCTGCCCATGTTAATGCACGCATCCTCAGGAGTCATGATTTAGCAAAAGCCTTTACAGAAACCACAGAAGTTCTGCTACTATTAACATTATGATTAGTCCCAATTTACAAATGAGGAAAACAGGACCCCCAAGACTTACCCAAAGTCAGGAAACCCATGAAAAGCAGTGCCAGAAGTCAGCCACAGGTCTGTCTGACTCCCTAGTCCCCAGCTCGGCAAACCTGCCAGCTCATGGGTAGTGTTCTTGGCAAGCAGTGGCCTCTCACACTGGCCACATGGATGCCTCTCTCAAAGCTTTATGACCAGCCCAGAAGAAACCAAACCCCTCTCTGAACCACAGTGTCCCAGGAGCACAAATCTACAAGCTGAGTGGCTCTCACATTTTCTCTATTAATCTTTGGGTGTCCAGGGAAGAGCCAGAGGCCCTTCTGGGAAAAAACGGGTTAACCCAGACTCCACTGACCTTTCTGGAGTGACTCAGAATTCTCAGAAGGGAGGTTTTTTTTGTTCTTCCAGCTTTGAATTTTTGCTTTCATTTTAGCAACACAAAGAATTTGAAAGAGATTAGGTTGCTATTAATACCACTGGTCTATCTCTAGATGAAGAATTTGATGAAGGGAATTGTTTGGGGTGACTGCACACGCATGTCTCTCAGTCCCTCTGCAAATTCAGAGGATGACAGGGAGGGCCACTGGAGATCAGCCAGTCCTGCCTCCTGCTCCCATCTTACAGGCCCAGACCAGGGCAAGGCCTTAATCAAAGCCATACTTGTGGATGAGGGATAGTCAGAGGAGATCCACAAACCCCTATTCCCCAGATCCTGCTACAGACATCAGCTTTCTGCCTCTAGTTTTGAAGGGCTTGCTTTTGGCAAATGATAAGGAAATGCGTCCTTGTTGTGGTCACTCTCATGGGAGAGAAAGGGTGCTCCCTGGTACCTGTTCTCACCTGAGGACAGTCCTGGATACACTTGGAAAATCTGGGGCACCATAGATCAGCTTAAAGTGCTGAGAGGCACTTCTGTGGCTCCCTGGGCCTGGCCAACTGCAGAGCTTGGTCTTGGATCCCACAGGCAAGCCTGAGCAAGGCTCACTTCAGGAGAAAACCATCCTGCTTCCTAACCTTGGGATGATGCACGAAAGCTTTGGAACCTGGCAGATTGGATTCTAATTCCCTTCTGCCTTTTCCTTGCTGGATTAGTCTCCCCTAGCCTCTGTTTCTTCCATCTGTAAAATGGAGATCATTTTAGGGTTTTTGTAAAGATTAAATTAGGAAATACATGCAAAATACTGTCACATAGTATGTACTAGTGGGTTCCTTTCCCACTCTCTGAATAGAGCAGCTGAATTCTCTGAGCCATGGCATCATCAAAATCCAACCAGGCCCAGATAGTCTGCTGTTCATCCTGGATAGCTTGAGTTCCAGTTTTGTCTCCTGTGGGTAAAGGAGACATATTCCTGGTCTGGCCTGGCCAGGGTTTCTCTGTACAAACAAGTAGATAAAAGATCGTCCAACATAAATGGAATTAAACCCATCAGGGGCTATGCACTCTGACATTTACACTTGCTGACATTCACTCTGCTGTTGGGCAGCCAGTTGCTTCAGACAGTGGGGTTAGAGAGAGGGTACAGTACTGTGACCATCCCAGGTCTATACCATGGTCAGTTGCAGGTCTATGCTATAGTCAGTCCCAGGTCTACATTGTAGTCAGCCATTGATCTGTGGTGTGGTTACCCCAAATCTGTTTTGTGGTCATCCCAGGTCTGTCCTGTGGTCAGTCCCAGGGGAGCAAGGGTGGAGAATAGAAGGGCAGAAGGAAGAAGCAACAGCAAGGGGAAGATGAGGGACTGGAAGGGACTTCCCAATGACTTGCCCTCAACACAATTCCCCTGGTCCAGGGGCTGTGACCATAGGGGCTGTAGCCTAGTGGTGCTTTGGGCGGGCTGGTCCTGAGCACTTTCCAACACCCCCTGGGGTCTACACTCTCTGGCCATGCTCTCCAGACTTGATGATCTCTTACAGGTTCTATTGTCTTGGGGTGCCTTCTTCCCCTGATTTAGAACCTATTCCAGCCCTGGGAGTGAGCCAGCTTTTTCTCAGACCAGTGCCAGGGCCACATCTGGAAGAAGAGGCTGGCCCAGCCCCAATAAAAAGAGAGCAAGAGTCAGCACCCACCATGTTCAGCCAGGGGCTGCAGTAGGGGACACACAAGATAACTACAAATAGTAACTAATCCCTCACATCCCCTCACAGCTCCTTTATCCCCATTGCCCTTCCCTTCATCCAACCATGGAGGCCATTAGGCACCCATTGCCTTAGGGAGTGGTGTAGCAGCAAGGGGTAGAGAAAATGGAGTTTGTCTCTGCCTTATTGTGCGGAAGGGCTAGCAACTGGGGAAACAAGAGGGCTCAGGGTACAGAAAAAAGATTTGGGAAAAGCATCCTAAATGAGGATAAGTCACCCCCTCCCACACACACACACCCAGGACTAGTAAAAGATTATGGGACAAGGGAGAGACAGGAGAGGCCAAGTAGAAGTGATGAGAATATAAACTGGTGAGTCACTAGAAAAGAGCCTGTGCCCTGCTTCCTTGGAGAGGTCTGGGGGGAAAGTCCTGAACTCTAAGAGCAGAAAGGTCTTACACCCCGTTTCTCAGACAGAACCCTGGGGAAAAGACCCCAAAGAGAGGAAACAGCTGTCTGGAATGGCTTAATTGACAAGACCTTCAGATATCCTCAGAAGACATTTCTCATCCCAGGGATGCACAGGTGAGGTCAGGGGGCATATTCCATAATCATTTCTGTGCAGCCAGCAGCAAAAAGTTGCCAGACTTGAAGGTCCCTTGAGAAGGCTGATTCAGAGGTCACCTACTAACCAAGGACTTTCAGAAAGCACGCTAGACATCTTGTCAAATGGTCCAGGGCAAATGGTGTCAGGCACCAGGTTACCCTCCTCACTCTAACTCCCTGACCCTCGGGAAGCTCCTTGGACCTTGATTGCCACTTTGAAGGAAGAAGGTTAGAGAAACCCTGAAAAGCCTGGGATCCAAGTTCTAGGTCCCCTGAAAAATGGTCATGCTAGGCCCAGACCTCCCTCCACACCACCCTGCCCCTCAGCCATGACAGGAAGCAAGCCAAAACATTTCCCCAGGTTTCCTTTCCAGCTTGTTCACTTCAGCAATTCTTTTTTTAAAAATAAGTCCACTTGAAAAAATTTTCTCTTCTTGGAAATATGTGCAATTGCTCAATCAGAGGCAGTTCAAAGGCAATGGGAACAGCAGAGAAGTATCTGAGCCTCCCATTTAGCTCCTAACAGAAATAAATATTGCCCTACTCTCTTTGTTCCGGGCCGCCCAGCAGCCTCTTCCCTGAGACACTTACTCCAGGGTGACATGAATCATCATCCTGGGGTCAATGACCAATTGCTTTTCCCTGGGTCCATGTGGCTGGCCAGGTCATTGAGGGGCCATCGGGAAGAATGGAGGACTAAGAGCCTTCTCCTAGGTCCTGGGCCCAGCTCTGCCCTCCCAGATGTGTGACCTTGGGGAGTCTTTCAGGCTGTCTGACAAGGAGGTAGATTTGTAGTTCTTCCAACTTGTACTTCCTTGGAGTTTCTCCAGTAGTATGCTAATTGTCAAGAATGTTGTGAGCTGGTTGTTAAACATAGACATTAAAATTTGAATTACAGCTTTGTGCAGTGGTAGTATCATAGCCAATGAGGTTTATCCAAGGTGTGATAATTGCTAATAAAGAATTAAGTTACATTTAAAACAAAAGAAATCAACACCCACAGTAATCACATCCTAATTATTTTACTACATTTTATTGTTATCTATACTCTTGAGATGATTTCATTCTAATGTGGAGGAAACACTATAAAATGATGTGCTACTCGGCAAAGGAAACAATCAATAAAACTAACAGGCAACTGACGGAATGGAAAGAGATAGTTGCAAATGACATATCAGAGAAAGAGCTAGTATCCAAAATCTTTAAGGAACTCACCAAACTCCACACCCAGAAAACAAATAATCCAGTGAAGAAATGGGCAGAAGACATGAACAGACACTTCTCCAAAGAGGACATCCAGATGGCCAACAGACACATGAAATGATGCTCAGTATCCCTCATCATCAGGGAAATACAAATCAGAACCACACTGAGATACCACCTCATGCTGGTGGAGTGGCTAAAATGAACAAATCAGGAGACTCTAGATGCTGGCGAGGATGTGGAGAAACGGGCACCCTCCTACACTGTTGGTGGGAATGTAAACTGGTACAGCCCCTCTGGAAAACAGTGTGGAGGTTCCTCAAAAAATTAACAATGGAACTCCCCTATGACCCAGCAGTAGCACTGCTGTACCCCATGTACCCCATGCTGTACCCCATGTACCCCAATGTTCATAGCAGCACTCTCAACAATAGCCAAAACATGGAAAGAGCCTAAGTGTCCATCAACTGACGAATGGATCAAGAAGATGTGGTTCATCTATACAATGGAATACTACATGGCAATGAGAAAGAATGAAATCTGGCCATGTGTAGCAACATGGATGGAAACTTGAGAGTGTTATGCTGAGAGAAATAAGTCAGACAGAGAAGGACAGATACTATATGTTTGCACATATAGGTGGATTAGGAGGAACTTAATGGAAGGCCATGGGGGAAGAGAAGGGGAAAAATAGTTAGGGAGAGGGAGGGAGGCAATTCATGAGAGACTCTTGAATGCTGAGAACAAACTGAGGGCTGAAGGGGATGGGGGAGGGGGAAGGGGGGAGATGGACATGGAGGAGAGACTTGTTGGGATGAGCACTGGGTGTCATATGGAAACCAACTTGACAATATAACTATTTAAGAAAAAATAAAAGCAGCATGAACAGACAACCAACAGCGGGAAGGAAGCAGCCACATTTGAAAAGTAGATACAAGCTCTCAGCTTGGCACAGAACCTGAAGCCAGTCAGCCTAGGCATGTTTTCCTAGACACCTTCCTAGTCATCTGAGCTCAGCCCCAATTGACAGCCCAGCCCACAGCTGGCGGGCATTCTCTGATGTTGGCTCCCTGGAAAAGACAGGAGACCAAGTGCCTTTTCAGAACATTTCTATCCAAGATGATTATAATGCATACAGTTTGACACTTTAAACATAATTATTTTTGTTCATAATATATTGATTGAGGAGAAAAAATAGGTGGTATGATTCTACTTTCATTTTTAAATTATATACATTTGCGTGAAATAGAAGTAGATAGATTATAGCCATCCTTAAGGGAGGGAAGTACAGAAGGTTAAAGACTCAAATGTTAAAAGTGGTTCTTTTCAAATGGAATTATGAATAAAATTAATTGAACACTTTAAAAATATTTATATATGTATTTTTTCCCACAGTGAACATGACTTACTTGCATCATAAATGATGGAGTTGCTAAAGGAAGAAAGAATCTTTTTGGTGTCCTGAAAAATTACTTAGAAAGGACAGTTTATGCCTAATGATCATGGACTACTTAGGCATTATTGGTCCTCATTATAGCATGTGCTAGTTGAGGCTCTGGGCCTGCCTGTGGACTTTCCTGTCTAGAATTCCCTGGTTAAATCTCGTTCATCATTTGATACTCAGTTCATATGTCACTTCTACCAGAAAACCTGCCCTGACTTTGTCTGGGCTCTGACAGTCCTGTGTTCTCCCTTGCCTTATGGATCTTTGCTTTGTCTTGTAATCATTTGTTTACTGTACCAGTTCTCAGCTTTTTTGCTACCCATTCCCCAACAAATTTCTATTAACTAATAGTGCATAAATGTCCAGTATGTTAGAAGCATCCTCCATTGTCCTCCAATGAACTCTAGTGAGGCCCACCTATTATGCACACTGTCCCCCTCCAACCCCACTCTTCCCCGTTCTCAGCCACACTTTAATAAGAATCATGTCCTAAACAGTGGGCTCCTTGATGACAGAACCAGTGTATAATTTATCTCTCAGGATTTCTTGAATAGATGAAGAAATGAATGAATAAGTGAGAGAGTAGGTGAAAATGTGTCACAGACTCTATGAAACAGGGAAGTGAAGAGTTCAAGCCCTGATTTTTGACGAAGACCTAGGAAGCCAAGTGACCCCTCCATGGCTGACTTCACTTGTGGCCTATCATGGCTTGAAGTTCCTCCTATGAGAAGTGGGGAAGACAAGGCCCCATTTTCCTTTTACTTAAATGACATGAGCACATGTCATCTGGGCTGCTGCATATGCAGGTGGATGGCCTCACCTGCCCTGTCTGTACTGAGCTTGCCCAGGTTAACAGCTGAGTTTTTCTCTCGATGATGTAAATGGGTTTCCTGTCTTCTCTAACACATAGGTGTGCAGATTTACCACATAACATTCTACCAACTGAAACCTCACAAAGAGCAGGGCCTCCTCCTCTGCCACTTACATGTCTCTGTTTGATCACCCATGAATATTTTGCAAAGTGACTTATCAATGGGACTTTCAGCTTTAACTTAAATCCAGCAGGGAGCCACAGAGTAGCCCACTGGCCCTTCCAGTTCCGCTTTGAAACCTAGCTAAAGTCAATTTGTAGCAATATGGATGGACCTTGAGGGTGTTATGCTTAGCGAAATAAGTCAGGCAGAGAAGGACAAATATCATATGTTTGCACGTATAGGAGGATTAGGAGGAATTTAACTGAGGACCATGGGGGAGAACAAGGAGGGATATGGTGGGGGAAAGGGAGAGAGGCAAACCATGAGAGACTCTTGAATGCTGAGAAACAAACTGAGGACTGATGGATGTGGGGGGGTGGGGGGATGGGCATGGAGGAGGGCACTTGTGGGGATGAGCACTGGGTGTTATATGGAAACCAATTTGACAATAAACTATTTGTAAAAAGAAAAAGAAAAAGAAAGAAAGAAAAAGAAAACTAGCCAAAGCATTCTCCAAATGGCCAGCGGTGACACATGCTCAAACGTGCCATCACCCTAGTGTCTGCTGCAGTGCACTCCTGGAACCACCTCCCCTACCTCCACCAAAAGAGTTGAGTCATGAGGGTTTGCAGAGCAGCCATAGCCTCTGAAGCCAAACCTGGCTCAACTTCTGCTCTGACTAGGGGACAGACTCTGATGTTGGGGGTCCCGGAATCTAGCATCTGGAATCTCCCATTCCTGTGAGGCAGGCCTTTGGAAACCATGGTCTCTGATTTCAGGAAGTAGGCCAGAGGAATTGAGCCAGTTTGATGGGCTTTGATGCGACCTTGGCAACAGCTAGTCCTGCCCACACTGCACACATGGACTCTCTCAGAAGCCAAAAGTGGGGCCACGTCTCAGCTAACCTTGTCCTTGGATCTTCTGGTTTCTGTGTCTGAAGACATTCATTCCTCAGGATGAGGATAAATGGATAAAGACAAGTTGCATTTTGTCAAAGACATAAAATGTGTCAAGGATCACCCAGGAGCAACCTGTCTGAAAAGCCAGCATCAGAAAACAGTATCACCTTGGGAACTTTGTTCCAAATAACAATAAAAAAAAAACTTCTTTCTTGACTGAGCAATAACCCTAACCCCAACCTAAATAGATGGCTGGCTGGCTGGCGGGCGGGTGGGCTGGCTGGATAGATAGATAGATAGATAGATAGATAGATAGATAGATAGATAAAGTGGGCATCCAGTCCCCAGTATGACAGTCTTCTCTTTGCTATTTCCTCCCTCCTACTTCACCCTCTCCTCCCCACCCTCCCACCCCCACTTGCCACCTTTGTTTTGGAAAGTGACCAAAGAGGTCTAAATGTAGGAACTGGTTTGGGAAAGTCCAAAGGAAAAGGTGGCCTTCACAGTGCCTGCCTAAACCATTCATTCACTCAACAAATGTTTAGTGGACAACTCCTTACTATGCTAGGCCCTGGGCTCTGAGGGGTGTCCTTCAGGCAGCCTTCCCAGGAAGCCTTCCCTGACCTCTCCAGGATACTGCGTGCTCTCTGGTATGTGATAGCACTGTGCAGTTACCCCCATCTGCCACACAATGGTCTCTGTTTCCTGTACATTAATTGTATCTGCCAAGCCTGACAGCATGGAACGTTCTTTTGTGTCCCAAAGCTGTGGAAACATAGCATGGGTCCAGAGCAATTGCTCAATGCCTGGTAGATCCATCCTTTAAAGCAAATACTGCAAACCATGAGAGACTCTTGAATACTGAGAACAAACTGAGGGCTGATGGGGGTGGGGGAGAGGGGAAGGGGGATGATGGGCACGGAGGAGGGCACCTGTTGGGATGAGCACTGGGTGTTATATAGAATCTAACTTGACAATAAGCTATGAAAGAAAAAAAAATAGATTAAAAAAATGAAAGCAAATACTCTAAGAATCAAACCTCACTTTTCATATGGCCTATTACATACCCAGCACAATATATATATAGCCTATATATATATATATAGGTTCTTGAAACACTCTTCACTCCAGAGGAAGGTATATCTCCATTTTACAGATGGGGAAACCATGCCTCAGAGAGGTAAAGTGACTTGCTCTAGATCACAGTCAGGAAACATAGTCAGGACTAAAACCTGGGTCTACTGTACCCAAAATGGAGTTTTTAGCCCTTCACAAGAGAGGACCCATTCTTGTTCTTCTCCAGTCTCAGCAGAGACAGAACAAGAATATTGGGAGAGTTTTCTTTATGGGGAATCTTGATTGTTCCAGATCACAGCCCTACCTCAGGGCCAACAAGGACAACTGTGGCTACAGCACAGAATTGAGTCGTTCTCACAGCATCCTCTGGAGTAGATAAGAAGCAGCTGCATTATCTGAGACAAAAAGGAGAGATAGCTCTTCCCTGCTGGGATGGAGCGCC